ATTATAGTTTTGCGCCGCAGACAGCGTGTTGTTAGGACTTGCCGTAGTGGCTTGATTAGCACTTATAAAAAATTGTATTCGGTACCTTTTATCCATTAGCTCACTTAGATAGTCGTCTGCTTCCACGATCTCGCTTTCCAGTTCTTTCTCGGTCTCGATTTTACACGATATATTCTCGTCGAGCTTTTTCAATTGTTCGATTTTCGTGTCGAATGTCTGTAGCACAACTTGTAGTCGTTGAATGTTGGTTTCGTTGATCTCGTCATTCATTAACGTTTCTGCTTTATTCCACGTCTTTGTTGCTTGGGCTCGTTGAGCGCGTCGAGTTATCTTTGCGCGTTTAAGATCGTCCATCCTGGTCACGGCACCAATGTCTCGATCGTCTCTCGTTTGTGCGTATTATTAACTTGCGTTGTGTATTGGCGTCTCAACGACAATCGAGAACCGTAAGCGGAGGTTCTTTCAATGAATAAGTTCTGAATAATGACGGACGATTCACGCAATAGTTTCAATGATATATTTACTTAATTACAATTTGTAACTCCCATAACGCGAGCCAGTTCAAGACTATATACAAACATAAAAATATAACAATAATGTGTCCAAAGCACGAATGTAATTTTACCCCTAAGCAAATTATTCTAACCAATCAAGTTCGAGTATGAGTGATTACTAATATTTGTACATTGACATGTTCTAGATCTGTGTTATCCAAAGACAAGTGCGTAATTCATTATCTATATGATTATACTAAAGTCATTAGTGTTTTAGCGTCTGTCGCTATTTCACGACAGTATGTTTGACGTTTCTAAGGGTGCGGCGGGGGGGTCTCCAGAGAAACGTCCATATGACGTTTCTCATGGACAAAATCGATATATGAGGCTTCCCTTACCAATAGCTGTGATATCCTAGTGTTCTAACTCTAATCCTCGGAATTGTTTATCCTGAAATTGTTTTGAGCATGACGGCCAGGTGCACGTTTCGTATATCTGGAGCAAGAACTTCAGTCATATCGCCTATGCAGGGGCGGATCCAGACCGATGCCACCGATGCGAATGCATCGGTCAAAATTGAGAAATCATCATTCATGTTGCTTGAAATATATAGATATATAATTCGCCAATAGTCAAAGCACACAGTAATAAAATATCTCCTATCAACCCGAAAATCTTTGCTTAAAATTGACTCCATGTCAGGAATACACTATTTAGGATGAAATCCAATTTAAATAGTCTCAATAACAGTCCAAATTGTCAAAATAAGTCCAACATACGACCGGTTGCAAATTGCGATCGCAAATGTGTACTTTCTGTTGTTTTGCGACACTTAAGCGTCAATATTTTCGCGACAAAATATGTTATTTTTTTACTGCATCCTTGACGTCACAGTTGAAGCAAAATGCATCACCTACGTCACGTTAGATTCGATTGGCATCCATTTTACATCAGTGAATGCATCGGTCCCGAGTCCTTTTCCGCGTGAAATCTAACGTGACATCATCAAATCTATTGTTTTAGAGCCCTACGTCACGTTAGATTTGGCCGCTGAGCGATGCATCGCATGCAGATTGCGGGCGCTCGCATCAGTGCACTGATGCAAATTGCAAAATCAAATCTACTGTGACGTAACGAGGCATTCGATTCAAGACATGGCGGCAAGGATATTTGATCAATTTGGATATGCAAACACTATATGCAAATGGCAAATAATGCGAAGAGAAATCCCTCGAAATTGACGGAGAACATATAATTTACAGTCGAACCAATTACTACCAAGTGGAAGAATGGAAGGGATCGATATCTTTAATATGCCCACGATGTGAAACTCGATCGAACTGAGGGCTCTAATATAAAGTAAGTTAAATTTCTCTATATTTTTACAAATGGTAGTAAATTACTAAATTGCTCAGTTCAAGAAGTGTGTAAAGTGGAAAATGGGGTCCTGCACAATTAATATAGATTTGTATGTAATAACAAAATAATTACAGTTTGTGTCTATTACTGTTGTTGCTGTATATTCCAGAAAGACCAGAAAGATGTTAGTGGTTGCCGGTTGGGGGGGGGAGGGGGTAGAGTTTGACATTTTACAGAGGTTTGCTTGTCTGGAGCCAAACTAGCCCCAATACAAACTTGACAGCTTGCTTTACCGAGGCAAATTTCATCTCTGTTTACATGGGATTATATCCTGTGCCCAGACCTTCATTTTTCTCACAGCTGGCGGGCAAATAAAAATGAAGACCTGATACACATGTTATTATGTTTGTATCCTACAACTGCCTTTATTGTTGTAACTCTGATTGGCTATTTCTGGCATGAGTATTCATGCATATTTAATGTACTGTTTTGATAATTGGTTAATGCTATAATTAAATAATGATATATTTAGTGATTGTAACTATATTTAGCTTGTTGTTATTATGTGAAATTGACATTTCTTCTGGCACATTTTGATTGGATACCAAAAATAAAACTATAGTGTGGGTGGAAAGTAACTCTGAATGGATCAAGACTTGCATCAGTCTCTGTATGTAATTACAGAGCATAATTGCAAGTTAATCAGATTTCTAATAGTAATTAATGCAACATTGGTTAGAAGACTAAGGGGGAGTTTACATGAAAGGTAATTGTTTCAAGTTGCAACTTCCAGTGGTATCTCCTATTTCATTTCATTTTCATTTTATATGGAAATGAGCTGGCATGCCTTGTGACAGGGTCTTTCTTTGCATTGCCTGAGTTATTGGGCAATTACTATACACTAGCTGGATATTTTGCAAACAAAGATGATTACCTGGGTTTGCTCGCCTACCATAGTTGAGTGTTTATATGCTTTGTCTGTGCAAATATAATTTGATATAAGCTGTATATATCATATGACATTCTCCTGACAGATTTAATCTTAGAATCGATGATAAAATGATGGACGGTATAAATACTGTATATACTGTAACTGGTGTATACAGGTTATAATTATGAAATTTGCTCACAAAAGTGGGATAGTTTGGAAAATATATTTAATTAAATTATATATTTGTAATGCTAATTATCCCAGTATTATGTTTTGGATAGCCAGCATGCCACCCTGAGGATTACGATTACCATTGATAAGTGTATGGATATATTTGACAAGATAATATAGGGAAAATTAAATATTCATCAATACTACTGTGCAACCTTTCTTAATGGAGTACTGTATTAATATTAGTTGAAAGGCAGGCAAAAGGGGACAGATAGAAGACATATGATTAAATTATGTCATGTTTATCATTGTACAGTTTGGTTAATTTACACACAGTCTCTATTGATTTAAAACGTGTGTGTACCTAGTTATTTATTTATATAATTTTAAACCAGTGTTTGTTGTGTGTTAGTTTACTGGTTTCCTCGCCACAAGGCAATATTCTCAGTATTCAGAGTGTGGGCTATTCACCATGCAGTTCATCTGAAAGGCAGCTAGCCTAGGGGCAAATGAAATTGACCAACTGATGCCAACCACACTGTCCATGCAGAGTAAGATTAGCAGCATAAGACAGAGTTGCATATATTTACCCAGTAAAGCACAAAATACCTTTAATCTTTATGCACCATATGTTATTTTACTTTAAATTCTAATGCTAGAAGATTTTACTCATGGAACATTGGAAATTAATAGGGGAAGGTGGTTCATAAACAACATAATAACACTGTCTTCTGAGTCCAGCAATGCAACTAGTGGAGCACACTGTATACACCTTTGTTACACAGTATGTGTGTATTTGCGTTGTCGTGATTTTCTGCCGAAATGTTTTTCAATAGAAAAGTTAAGGCTACAAGAAGCACAGTACTGACTATTTTTTAATAGAGACTTATTGCCACTGCTGTTATTACACTTGTACAAGCAAAATTTTTTTTCTTATGTGGAGAAATTATGTGTTTTTTTGCGATATAGGTTCAAGTTTTTTACGTGTTTTTCCAAAAATGCAGCAAAATTTTTGTGACTCTGATATAGGAATTGCAACAAAAGTGTTCGCTCAGAACGCAGGAAATCGCATTTCCGAGGTCCTAGATTTCAAAATTTCACGGGGGAGGATACCCCCGGACCCCCCTACAAATGTGAGGTCTTATGTATGCATCAGTCAGCTCAGGAGCTGGATCCGCCCCTGCCTTGCATCCATACTTTGTTGATAGCTGTAAAAAGACAAATACATTTATTTTATGTCTACCATTCCAATGTGTTTTGTTAACCCATTAAATATGCCCAAATGCACCCAATTTATTATTTTACTCTAAGTGGAGAGTCTAGCACTTTAATAGAATAAACACAGTAAAATAACAAAGTACTAAAAGTAGGGCACATTGCTTCTAAATATGCCACACAGCAGCTTTTGCAGTTAATTATTAACCTTTCAATGACCAACATTCATTTTGATGAGTAAAATCATCTGATAAATATCAAAGTACTGAAAGTGGGGATTGAGTGTTAGGGTGAATTGCATCTAAATGTGCTAACGCCAAATAATGCAAAATAGTCTGGTATTAACAGGGCAAAATATTGAGCTTTGAAATAGAGCGCATTAGTGTGAATTTGTGAATTGGGTCTTAATGAGTTTACACAAAACACAGGGAGACAGCAAGGTAACCTATCAAAGTTGTCCACTCTCTTTCAAGTAAAATGATCTGGTGTTAGACAAGGTAAAATAAAAAAGTACTGAAAGTTGAGCACATTCATCTTAACAAGTTAGCATGAAATGTAAGCTAGCAGAGAGTCTGGTTAATTTGAATACCATCACATAGTTATGTTTATAAACTGTGGTTTAATTAATAGAAAAACATGGATAATTTTCCTGGCATTACACTAAAGCATGTCTAAAGGCTAACAGATTTTAATACATTGACTGGTGCAAGACCTCTCAAAATGAAAATTGTTTAATTTAAACAAAACATATGAATAAATACTGCTTCTGATTTGAGCAAGTAGTTAAATTTTCTATAGGCATGCATTAAATATGGCTGACAATTTACAATTAATCTGGCATATACAGTTGGCACTTGGGATATACAAATATATTAATAAACATGGATAAGTCTGATTCAAATATAAGACTTTTATAGTAGCATTTGTTGAAGTATAAATGCTATAAATATATTTATATCAGCATTCTAATTCCGTTTATATTGTCGCGGCAAATTCAAATTTTATCGAACCACATGCTCGAATTTCACAAATGAAGATTGGAGGTATTTCCTCTATAATTTGCTTTATTATAAATAAAATATAAACTTATTCTTACCTGAACATTATGCAAACATCCCTGATGTATTACTAGTGAAAATCCAGTTGAATCCCATCAAAAATAGTTCTATTTTGCACATAAACCA